TATATTTTATGCAGTTCCACTCGTATTTTACCTCGTTCACATCTTATAATCATTGTACAAGTATGTCATATATCTATCAACTTAGATATTTTTAATACTCCTTAGTTTAATATTCAGATATATCGTCAATGATGAGTAAACCGAAAATTCTTATTTTGATATTTATTAAACATGAACGAAGAAACTTCTTTTCAACTAGTTTTTCATCATGATTCTACACTTATATATATGATTTGCAACAGTGGAATATTCATCGTGTAGTTGCATTGCTTATATAATGCCACAGTGATCATAAATCCATATTAAGTAATTGAAAGAAAGAGTATCATAATAATCAAAGTGTATTTGCAAATTCAACTGCCTATCACACAGCGAAACGTCATCCGTCTTGACTGAGCAGGAGACAGGTAAGAGTTATCAAGAGATCTATTCTTGCTCACTTGATGGAAACTATACATGTCACGACTTGAATAAAACTTTTAATTTTGTCCACCATATTCCATCAACTTTACCACACAGTTTACGAGTTTGCTACAAATGACTGAAGCTGTCGGAATTCATGTTAACAAACCTAACTTTTGCATTTAAAAGAAGCTCGTACAACCACTCTCACTACTTTGGCTATCGGTATAGAAGTGAGTTTTATCTGAAATTTGATCAAACCTTTTCATTCAAAATATTCAGAAATTTCTCTCATTTCTTCCACTTTTGTATTTTAATATATTCTTAAAGTCCGTCTCTTGGTTCTTACATAACTACTAACCATTCATCAAACTGTTTTGGAGGTACTTTTTATTTGTTATGCTATGCAGTAACTGTTTAATTTTCCGAATAATTACTTTGATAATTGTAATCTTTGTTTCAGTTATTGAATATTATTTTATAGTCGTTGTATATATATTTATGATGAGAAATTAATTGAAAAGAAATTTCCTTATTCTAATCGTTCATTTTAACTAAAGTATGGGAATACTTTGACTTGATTACCACTACTCTACTTCGACTAATGTAGACATATGAGTCGTACAGTAGCCTAGAGGTTACAATGAACATTTCAACCAAATAAACTTATAGAAATGCATATAGTTTTTATTCGAACAGTAAAATGAGAATCCGAAATAACTTGACCACCTTAAAATGGTGAAACGATATAGACTAGACTGAAAGTTGATCTCATGACTCGCAGCAGTTCAGTCATAAATAAATTAAGTAAATATTTTCTTTTACTTCAGTAATAAAATGAAGCATGAAACTGTAAACAAAATAAACTTATTTATATGAAACTTTTAATAAATATTATGAGAAAAAGAAGTGTAATGGGTATTTTCAAGCCCACAGTTTTCTAGACATTATCTGCTAGTATAACTATATTTTTGGCATCCCAGAAGAATATTGAACAGAAACTGTTTTGTTATTTGTTCTTCAGAAGAATTAAAAATCTATCTGGGTCTTGTTACAATAATATAATGTTTTAAAACCTTCGAGAAACTTGAGATCTTTAAACTGTAAATACTTTTTCTATATGTGTTCGCAAAATATAAAGATCATGATAGATTTTGTAATAAATTGTTGACTAGTTCATTACTTTAGTCAACTCAAGTACACTTAAAGACGGATAAGAAGGTTAGGATAAATATCCAGTTTTGTGAAATGTGTTTTGTTAAAAATTTCAAAATAAAATGACATCAAAGAAAATTATTCAACGAATAAATCACAATTGGAATTTAGTTAGTGTTCACGTCCTTTTCCTCGGAATTTCGGATACGTGACTCATAATCCTTAAGCCATGACAAATGTGATAATGATTTTTATTCGTGTGCGCCCATAACCTAATAAGTTGCGATTTCTTTGAAACTTGACATCCTACCTAGCCTAGAGTTCCGAACCCGAATATTGGTCATCGCACAATAAACATTATGTGTGTATCTAAACTTGGTCTTACCAAGTCTGTTGTCCCTTATTACCGGTCGTACAGGTAATAAGCAAATACAATTGTAAGTAAAATGTGTTCTTTAAAACCTTTATGTTATATTGAGTTGATAAATGTCTATGAAACTTCGGCAAAGTTTTTCATAGTAATCAGGTTTATGTTATGCGACAACCTGTTTTCTATTTTCGCTTTTCAGACAACAGAGCTGCTGTTCCCAAATTGAACAAGAAGTCATGATTTTTTGTAGAATACATAAAGCAGAAAATAACTTAACCGCGACGTAAGCTTCATCAAAGTAAATCTATAATCTCCCTAAAAAATGTTTTATAACAACATAGTTCTCTACAAGTTCTAGTTGAGACATCTGCCCGAAGGTATGGTCAGTAATATATGTTTTCGTGAATCTGAACGCTTTAGGTGTCAAATGGATCGCGAAGAGTTACAAACCAAAATAAAAATTTTATACAAGGATAAACAGGGACTAATAAATGTCTGACAGTAATTTTTGTACATCAGCAAAATTATATATGAGTTTCTTTTGCTGATCACCCTAGCTAAACCTAAAATATTTCTTAAGAGTAACGCTGTAGAACATAAGAGCTACAGATTACCAAAAGCAACTATCTGTTTCTAAAATCCACAAATGCTTTCTTTATAAATAGGATGCGAATGGATGAGAGCTTTTGGGCAGTCTCATTCTAGAACAGTGCAAGCGTCCAGTGCTTCCAGTTCTCAACAGTCATCCAGCTAAAATCGGTTCATGAAATGGATAAAACTACAAACAAATTTATTTTGTATATTTCCTGTTTTGGTAAGTAATAGTTGATAACTACAGGTAGACTTATTTCTGCACTCACTTGGCGATTAATCGGGAGAGTAGTTTACAGCAAACATTGTGTGTATGAAAGAACATTTCTTGAAAGTTTTGAGAGAGCTTAATAGTTAGCTAACGTGTAAAAATTAAAACTAATTAGTACTCCACGATAAATTCACCTGTATTGTTGCATATAAGTAACTACATTAATTATACACCAGCTAAATACTTCAGAGCAGCACCACTCAACGTGATGATCATCTACCTAACTATCACTCAGAAGTGGTGTATAGATGAATGCACCATCCTTAAAGAATGCATAGTTCACACAACAGAATTTTTATCAGGTTTTGTTTGGTAAGAGTACTATACGTGACCAAAAGCTAACTTTGAGCAAAACCTCATTCATGTATATTCATGTAGCCCTTAAACATTATATTTCGATTTATTCGACAATCCACTAGAATAAACTAAAAGCTGATTGTTTATGAAGAAAAATCAAATATTGTATGGCTAGTTTCACTCACAACATATAGCTGTTAAAATGATCAAAACATTGTCTTAAAATAACAAGTCATAATAGAGAAACGTTTTGGTATTCTTTCAATTATTCTATGTTAAAATATTTATGGGGCAAAATAGGCAAAAGTAGTTGGGGGAGAACGAAGGCATAAGTTTATTAGAATAGTACAAAACAATCTGCGTGGAACAGGCTTTTAACTGACCAAGATCTAACTTTATTAAATCCCATGTTATAATTTGGTTTGTTACGAACCAAGTTTTTCTAGATGTTAAAAGGCGTAGACTTTATTTATTTTATAAGAGCCTATATGTACATTTACTTCTTATAACTGGAAAAATAAAAATGACCACTGAATTTCGCTGGCCCATCAAAGTAAATATCTGAGACTCGCACAAGGTAATGCTTTTATTTTTATGCGAATAACCCTTGACATTATATTCAGGGTGTTTTTTGAGCCAGTTTTTCATTTAGAAAGACCTGATACATTCTTTATTGTCCCTAATGTTTGTTGCTATATATAATGGGCAGAAACATTTCAGGGTATGGGTGTGTGAACACGAAACGATTAATTATGGAGAATTATTTCTGCATAATTTCATTGTTGGAAATATCTTAGAAGAATTAATGAGACGGAATTCAAGTACGTATTCACCAAAACATATTTATTGACGGTGAACTGCCCTAATATATCAGTTTTTCAGTTTTACACTGATGGTACCATCAGGTTACGAAATCATCAGTTGTTAAATGTTTGTAGGCTATCAGTCAATCTAGTATCAGGTTGGTAACTTAACATAAATTAGCCAAATGTTTCCTGAAGTCACCTTTTCTCATGTAGTTTTTTGAATAAAGTATAACAGTATATCCGCTGCTTCATGGTCATAAAAACGCAAGCACCATAGTTCCATCAAAAGAAGTCGGTTTGTTTAACGACCTATCACAGTTTTATCCGATAGTCGTTAACGCAACAGAATTAACGATTAGCAAATATACCCATGAGGTGACTTCAGTCCAATTAAACAACGTAGAGAATGCCGATACGCGCTTGCTAAACGATGAAATGCCTGCTGCTCTATAAATGGTAGTGCTTTATGTAGACTGAGTCCATATTTCTGAAGTATAAATTACTCTGAAATATATCCAAGATATCACCATATATATGCCACCGCAGCATATGATTTATGTGTTGTGTGGGTAACGTTTTTCATTGTGACTTGGATGACGGACTGGAGGCCTTTGTCAAAGCAGAGTGGTCATATATTAACATACCATACGTATGAAGCGCCTCATTCTCTAAATTGGTAAATAAATTCAAGACTCTCTATCTTCACCTATATGTTCAAAACTATCTATCAATTGGCATTCAACCATAGTCAATAGCTCGCACTCAACTTAGCTTTCACGCCATAAGCTACTCTCAAGTAAGGTGTACAAGTAATTTTGGGGAAACTAGTGTTTATCTTAGGTTCAAACACATTTCACACAAATTCACAGAAAGATGAATTATCAGTGAGGCATTCATTCCACGAGTGCATATTGTCTCTGTTCATCATTCTGCATCTCAACATAATTCATGTGGTTTTGAGCCACTCACGTCAGTGACAACATACTAAATAAGTACCTGTATTACCAGTCAGCTTAGGCTAAATTCTGGTCCATTAGAGACTTAAATTCGATTAAATAATCAAATCAGATGATATAAATTAGATTTATGATAAATAAAAACATATTACTTGGCCCATCTTGTATAAACCCATTCTTTGGATGTAGAATCTGAACCATCATCACCCGAAAAGTCTATACCAACAATATTTCCTTGAGTATCACGAGAATGACTAGCCTTCCTCTCTGAAAGGAACATGTTGTCGTCTTAAGACGGGTAGGCGCCTTTTGTTGTTGTATGATATAAGGAAATTTAGTTTGTTTTCTGAGTACGCAGTAACAGCGTAATAATAAAAATAATTGCAGGACTCAAGGACAACGTGAATTCATAGTTCAATTTACTAAATAGTAGTCACGTCAAAGGCTCCAAACTTCGCTTAGGATGTGTTTAAATAACCGTTGCATTTCACTATATTTTGGATGAAAAGCTTTAAAATTATAAAAAACATAGTCTCCATCCAATAGATTCAAGATGCTACTTTTAGTCAAACCAATTTGTGAACCGGTTGTTGCTTCGGATGAAGAGACACTCATAGAAGTGCAAAAAAATTACTAGGACGCAAAATTTGCTTGAATGTTTGTCCTTTTTTTTGCATATTTCGGTATAAAACTCAAAAGCGTATATATGTCACTGATATTTAAGTTTTGAAAAATCTTTTGTCAGTAATAAGCTTGTGGACCATACAGCCAGATCATAAGTTGGGAAAAAGGAATTCTAAAAAAATATTTGAAAGATAGTCGGCATGTCAAGGAGTGTGTAATCTGAACTGGCTAGCTACCGTGAGGGGTGCGTTGCAAGACATACTATATGGTGTTTTGGTGCAGATGCGGTCCCAAGCTACCTCAGCTAGGTTGCGCCCAGTAAAACTGATGAGGTCAGCATCAAGTACGAAGACTTGCAGGACTATTTTTTTGGGGATTCATTGACCTTTAAATAAACATTTGTACTCCGGGCTTATTAATTCAGTCGGATTTAATGTGTGATAGTTTCTAAAATGTATGATTCATTTTTCGGTGTGGCAAACAATATGTCGTGATTGATATTATCACATTTATGTATATATTTTACTCTTTATAATTTGGGGTTACATCCATCAAATTTTTTCGGTATGATAATCATTTGAAAGTGATTTTCCACCAAGCGTTTCAAAATTATGCAACAAAAGACATGTCTTTAAACAAAGTCAAATAAGGAAAGCTCATTCAAGAAAGACTGAAGATCGTAGAGTGTGGCTAAAAGAGATCCGAATATTGATTGGAATAAAAGACAGAAGAAACAAGTAAATGACTATACTGCCTAATAAAATGCCCTGAAGAGGTTTTCAGTATGTTCTTTCTGCTTCACTTGTCCCACAATTTTATTTTCTATGCAGGTACAGAAGATGATGTTTCGTTCGTTTATGGTCATCACTTTATGATTGTGTATGATATTTCCATGCTCGGTTGTGTAACGCAACTTCAAAGCCCCTCAGTACTTTTCCCTTTCATTACCGTAACTATTAACTACAGCCATATCTTCATATTCAGTCTGCAAGACTTTCTAGGCCCAATCAGATGCACCTAACACTGTTAGTTCCTTGATCAGTATGTATGTTGAGGAGTCTAAAAATTCATGGAATGTGATGTTAAAAAAGATTAACACTCCTTACTTTCTTATCATGCCCTTCTTTTACGAGGCCAGAAAAACCGTTTTCGTGGTTACATGAACACTTGGATGAGAATGATTGTGCAACGTATTGATGTTTCGGCGCAACTGGAAGATCCCTACCGGTAGATGTGTTGAATAATAAGGTTTCCTTACATGTTTCCATCTGTTTAATGCACAGTTTTAGAGTTGTGAAGGTAACTCGTGCTGAAGATCTGTGTCTTCTTTTTGAAGCTGAACGCGTTCAAGAATGTTGATGCCTTGGGAACCGTTCAAGGAAGTCATACGGGACATAGAGCCTGCAACAGCATTATTTATTCCAGAAATGTTTATCCAGAGCAAACTGCGAAATGTAGTCTGGTTGTCGCGACTCTCGAGTGGAATACTCTCATAGTTGTTCGGAAACAAGGTCCGGACGCTAGAGATGAGATTCTCTCTCCAGACTTGCTATTTGGTAGTCATCAACATACGCATGTACGAAATTGAGACCTCATAAGACATCATCGATCAACCTTTGACAGGTCTGAGCAGCATTTCTTAAACTGAAAGGCATGCGCAAAAACTCGTGGAGACCGAAAAGAATAATGATAGCTGTCACATTTCCATTTGACGTCTGTAAGTCTAAAACTAGTTCGTGAAGCCGGTTGTTAGAATTCAGTGGAAGAACGCTAACTCCTGCGCAAGTATCGACGAGGTAGCGAACTTTCGTAGTCACATCAGTTATGTATAACAGACGGTTGTGTTCAATGCCTAGGTTTGCCGTCAACGCATGTTGGCTGGGAAGTTTCCCGGAACGTTTTTCATGTCGGTCGGTTTGGAATTCGGAAAATTACAGGGTTTTCTGCTATTTTGAGATTTTCTGTACTGATTATGATACCAGCAGCAGTCGGGGATATCACTGTCTTGTGATCTGAAGACAAATTGTTTCCGTGAACAACTCCTTCAAGGGGTTTCTGATCGTTTAATGTCATGACGAATACGAAGTTAGCGTGTCAGTATATGACATAGTTCCGTAATGTCATTCTGTGTCGCTTGAGGCTTTTCTTTGACTGAGAAAACCTTGACGTTAGAAGATTTGATGATTACTAAAATGAGGTTGGCAGATGCAGTCAGCTCATCCACGGCATTGTTTTGAAATGAGACAAGCACTGCCTGCACCTGTTGAGTATGCTTAGACAATAAAATTAGTCTAAAAAGGACATCGTCGAAGGTCCTTTCACCAATCACTTCTCTCATTCATAACAACATGTCTGTTGCTGGACCATGCGGCAGATCGATATTATTAAGCAGTTGATTTAGCCTCTGTCCATCGGTTAGATCCCTGAGTTTCAGAATATACCGTTTAAGAGTTTCGCATGGTTCCGAAACATCACTAATAAAAATACTAGGTGTGACGTACCTGTTGAATCCGTGCGGTTGTGCCGTCACTGCTGAGAGTAATTGAGCACGTGTATTAGTCACGCCTTCCCCTAGAAGTTAGCCTTTGTGTAACAGAACCAGACTTCGATGTTGTCTGGCCAGCATGGGATTAACTAAGATGAGAGTGGCGTCATAGACTTGATCTTCAGTACCTTAGGAGTCTATTCTGTCATGGCGAATATGAAGTACAGGAATGAACGAGGGAAAGATATTCACTAACACGAAAAATATTACAATGTATAAAAATTAGGGTAGGGCAATGATATATGAAATTCCAGAAAGAACAGACTCATAGTTTACAAATTTGTGTACCAGATCATCTCGGCTCACCAATGAAGATGCCACAGGTATTCGTAGTTTGACAACACTTTAACTAGTAACACCTGTAATTAAATCGTGATCAACGAATGAAACCAAAAGTCAGAAACGAGGAGGTTCGTAGATATATTTGATAGGTTGTCAATATGTCAAGAAGTGACTGATGTAAACTAGCTATCGGTTGCAGCAGTGGTTGAGCATGTCGTTCCCACTAGTGACCTGGTGAGGATGAGTGACCGAGTGCCTTCAGCTAGATGAGTCTATCAAAACTAGTGTCGAAGGCTCACAGAGCTATTGATTTTGGGGATTTATTTAATGTATAGGTGAATTGCTGACAAGTTTTCTGAGCCTAACATTGAGACTTTAGAATTTTGTATTATTTCAAATGACATTTGCCCAAATTATATGAACGATGTCCACCCAACGAAAATACGAATCGTGTGTACAAGCAGCTTGATCATGTTTGACAATTTTTGGGCCATTAAAAATCATAACTCGAACCTTTAAATCTGAAAGCTCATACATTAAGCTAGGTTTAGTATCCTAATAACAGAGATAGTCTAAAGGTGACCCAACCACAGTTTTACATCGCTGAATCACAAGAGTGCGTTTAAAAAATTATTGTTTGCCCCAACACACAGGAACAGAATTTCTGAAGACACTCTGAAATCTTACAAAAACAGAACCAATTACTTGTTTATTGATTACTGATTTTCCTGTCATATAACCAATGAACAGAACTGCCTATTTTAACATAGCTTTAAACCTGGCTGGAGACTTCTCTTACGAGAACTAACACAGGCCATCAAGCATTTTGTTATACTAAAAATGAATCACGTGTCTTAAATATTTATGGATGTATTATTTCAGTAAAAAGTAATATCTACATAGTGTAGGATAACTAATTTCTAATGGTAATAAAATATTTTTGTCTGTCAATAAGATCGAAATGTGAAGAAGCAATCTAATTTCAGTCAGTTCATTACAAATATATGTTGGATACTGAATAGCCTTCACTTTCGGTGCAAAATTGAATAATTTTGTCCTGTGCAATGATATGATGCGTTATGCACTTATGTAAAGTTAATGGCAATGAATCTCATAATAAAATGCTCAAGAAATCCACTGTACACAACTGTGACTCTGCAAAAGGATCTATTACAGACGTCGCTCCTTTGGAACATCTTTTTGTAACTAAATTTTCAAAACTGACTATTGATGATGAATATAAGTATAATCTAGCTTATTTAGTCACTGAAAATAATGTAACAACTCCAGTTGTAAAACGCTCTGAGACTGAAAAGCGGCGATCATTCACACCTAATACAAAACCTCTTAACCGCATCCACGTTGATTCTATTCAACGTAAATCTGAGCCAGTTATTCATACAGACCACAGAGGTTTTCACCGATCATCTAAATACAAAAGACAAAAACCCTTGCGCGGGAACGTTTCGGCCCGTCGCAGTTCCCCTGTTTATGTTAGTAGTCCTGAATCGTATGAACATATGTCATCAGACCATGATGATCGAGGGGAATGCGAGTACGGTTTATTCGCAAAACGTCTGTCAAAAGAACATGATAATAATAAAAATAACCAAAGTCATTTCCATGAACACAAGAAAGCTCTTATGCTAAATAATGCTCCTGTAGATCCGACTTCCAAGTTAGATTGTTTTGCCCTTAAATGCCCAGCAAGTTTGAAATCTGTCGCTCCCTTATGTGAATTAAAGAACAATTTAAAAGTCCAAAAGTCGGATCCAAACACAAATATTATTGTGCCACGTCGTGAAACTTTCCGAACAATGGACAAAACACTTCAGCAAACAAACGGTCGTCTGGAATCCATGAAAATAGAAGTAAATGCCCCAGATCCTTCGATGAGGGATGATTTTTGCTCTCATGAT